AACATTTCACCATTAGGTGCCAAAGTGGTTCATTTATAGTAGCATAGTGGTACCTTTTGGACATAAAGTTTAATCCTTCTGCTGCTGCTTCTATACACAGCGCAGAATTTTACCCCAAGACATAAACCTCAGTTGTTTTAAATTTTGATAAGCAAGGGGCTTGGATAAACCCTTTTATGTATATGTATATGATCCATTCTTTTGGCACCAACATCAGGACATTCAAATACAAAAGATTTCACAGCAAAACTTCATAAAATTACATCATACCATAAACTAGACATGGACTATCACAACTGAGTTGCTTAGGCCTCCTACAGCATCCCAAGTTCTCAGACACTATTGGAGAGGAGTCAGAACTGTGGTGAAAATGGTGTAAAACAGAGACCCAATCTTGCTTCTGTTGCACCTGTCCAATGTCAGGTGTTGAGTTTCATGTGTGTGAAAATGGATGCCTATAAGGCCCACGGTATAGGTGTTCTGGCCTAATGGGCCATCAGGAGAGGGAAGAAGTTATGGGTAGACTCCAAATGACAGGCCAAGACAGGGATCAGGGACTGAGCTACTATAACCAAAAGGGAAGTCACAAGGCAGATCCCAGGTCAAGGTTCAGGAGTCAGGAACTGAATTAGCAAAGGTAAGTGGACATTTCTGGATCTAGATCCCAGAGACAGAGGTGAGCAGGGTGAGAAGCTGGAAAACCATAGAGCACAGGACCCAGAGAGCTTAACCACAGCAACTCTTCAGTCAGAAGAGTTGGCTGGCCTCCAGCCTGCTGCCACAGCTGGACTTAAATAAGGAGACTGTCATTACCAGCAGCTGCAGGAGGCCCTAACGATGACCAGTTGGTTCAATGGCAGACTGGGGCTGCCAGTTAGAGCCTCTGTTGCTTACGCAATTAGTCCAGGCTGGGCTGCATCTTAGGGTCCCTGACAAAAGAATAGTGCCTCCACCGTGGCATGTGGTCAGTGCCCTCTGTTGTCCTCTGACTGACCTCGTCCTCATGACCACAGAGAGGGTGAAAGCAGAAACAGGCAGGATTCCTGAATGTCACAGGAGTCCAGATTGCTAATATGGAGTCATACCAGCTTTCTTCCCTTCTGGTCATGAATTTGACTAACCATTGAACTGAGCCATGCAAAGAAGGTTCTGCGTGTGACCTCAGGACAACAGTCCTAGTTTCCATGGGAACATCACCATAATTCTGGCTGTGCTAACAAAAACTTCTGGATCTCCCTCCTCCTTTCCACTTCAGGAGCATCAGAGCAACTGGGTCCATACTTTTAGCCTTGATGGGGTCCAGAATAGGGCCACATGTATGGTTCAAGGTTAATAAGTCAAGCCCTATGAGGAGAGACTAAGGGACCTAGACCTCTTCAGCTTCCACAAGTGAAGGCTGAGAGGTGATCTTGTGGCCACCTACAAATTAATTAGCAAGGGATCGGAGAGGCTGTGTTCACCAGGGCACCTCTTGGGGTAACAAGGACAATGGACACAAACTGACTGAGAGCAGATTTATCCCAGGCAGGGAGTCGGACTCAATGATCAGTTGATATCCCTTCCAACTCTAGCATCTATGCATCTATGAATGAGGCCGCATACTCCCAGTAGGTCATAAGTGCATTAGCCACAATCTTGTCATGCTCACTCCCTTGTGTTGGGCCAGGCTACTCACTCCAGGACTATGGTCACCATGCTGTACATGTGCACAAGACGCAGAGGACTGCACCCAGAGGCTCCAGCACTGTGCACGAATGTGGGGGTCCTCTCCTCTGAAACCTTTGTCACACAGTTACCTTCGAATGCCTGCATCATAGGGGTTGCCCAAGAGCTGCGTGCTCCCCAGTGGCCTTATTGTGCCTATGTGGCCCAGAATATTACAGGAAGGATCCTACATCTCCCTCTCTGTCCTGGTATTCAGTTTGGGGTCACTCTTACCCTCAAACCACATATCAATATACTTGCTTCCCTCTCCTGGAAACCATGTCTCGGCTAGTCTCAGATTCAGCTCCTCTGTCAACAGACTCATCCGTCAGTGTGCCCGGGGGCCACAGACACCCTGGCTTCTTGTTTCTCTCCCACACACACATCTGAGGAGGACACAGAGGCTGACCTATAATGCATTACCCACATCAATGTCACCACTCAGAAGTAGATCATAGGGATTTTCTTTCTCAAGAGCAGATGGAGGATTGTTCTGTGTGAACCTGGTACGTGGGTTTGTTGATTGTTTTAGGTCATGTTGGGAATATAAAGGGATAGCCAAGCCTTCACAAAATTGTTCCTTTGCTTGTTTTGGAAACAGCACCAAAACACCAGACTGGTAGGAAAACTGGCAAATGTGACAGGTGAAAGCTGTATTATACCTATTAACCAATTCATTTTTTAACATCTTATTTATTTTCTACACATGATGTCTTGAATAAACCAAATCAATATATGTTTTAGAAAGATACTATGGTAACAGCCTTTTTCGTGAATAAATTGCTATTAGCAATCCGATTAGACTAAAATGGAGCTTTTCCCCTCCTCTGTAAAAACCACGTGTTCTACCATTGGCTTCAGTAGAATGAAACTGTTCAGAAAAGATTGCAAGTGAGCCAGCAATCAGACCTGAAGTACAGTCCCTTCCTTTTAAAAATAATTGTTGGGAAGATCTGCATCTAAGCACTTAGGATCATAGGCTGAAAGGGACCTCATCAGGTCATCTAATCCAGGCCCCTGCTCAAGGCGAGATCATTCCAACCTAAACCACTCCAGCCAAGTGTCTGTCTTACCTGATTTTGAAAGTTTCCAAGCATGGACAATCCACAGCTTCTCTCGGTAGCCCATTCCAATGCCTGACCACGCCACAGCCAGCTGGTTCCCCTAAATTCCAGCCTATATTTCCCCTGCGGCAGCTTGCGGCTGTTGCTCCTACTCCAGTTCTCTACAGCCACAAAAATAAAGCCCATCTCCATTTCCCCTATAATCACCCTTCACAAATTTGAAGACTGTTATCAAATCCCACTGGCAGTCTTTTCTTCTTCACTTTACATATCCTGAGTTCTTTCAACCTTTCCTCCTAAGTCTTGTCTCCCTAGCCCCAGATCATTTTTATTTCCAGGCCACTTGACCTATTTCCTGTAGGACGGTTTAGGCCTTCTGCAGAGGGTCGCATCAGGGAAATACAAAGTTTTAGTCCCCCATAAAATCCTCAGTGGGCATGTCTACATGTGCTATTAATTTGCTTTAGGATTACTGAGCAGTAAGATACTAAGCCGTAAACCTTCCCCAGGCGCATGTTCACATGTGAGCTCTGGTGGAAGCAAATTTGTTCCTTATGTGAGCACATTGGTGCAGGGCTGCTCCTGCACTGCTCTGCCTCCCAGCAGCAGCCAGGAGGAGCTCCAGACTCACCTGGGGTGCTAACCCATTAGCTTGCACGGGGAATGGAGCCGGGAGAGCTCTGTTGGCTGCAGCAGCAGCAGCTGTCTCCTGGCCCTGTGCATATCAAAAGGGGACCTCATGTGCACCAAGCTGGAAGACAACTGCAAGTGCAGTGGTCAGAGCTGTCCTAGCCCAGTGCCCATTGGGACACACAGATGCCAGAGACCGTGCTACGAGGCAGGGGTTACCTGTCCAGCAGGGGATTCAGTGGGGGCTGTCTGGGGGGTGGGAAACCTGGTGGCAAGTCTCCTAGCAGGTGAGGGTGCAGATGAGGGGGGCAAAGTGCAGGGATCACTGGCAGCTGCTCTGCTTGAGTTCCCATCCCACCGGTCCTCCACCCAAAGCAACTCTGCACAGCACAGAGCTTGCAGCTCTGGAGGGCAAGTGGGAGATAGGAACACACCCTCACCTGGCCCCCAAAGCAGCTCTCCCCACACTGGGAGCCACGAACCAGGACGGGGGCAGAGAGCTCCCCAGTCCCATTTCTGGTCGGCATCTAGCTCCTGAGGGGAGCTGGGAGCTGAACAGCACCAGGACCTGAAGGAGGGAGCTCCCTGTCCCCTGTGCCCCACTGCTGCCTAGCCTGACCAGAAGCAAAGTTGCTCCCAGTTAGTGTCTACACGAGCACTAATGTACAGAAACCACCACACAGTTAATCTAGTACCTGCATTTTACAGGTATTAGCTAACTGCACATTAGCCAAATCTTGCACTGGATATGCCTGGCACATATAGACAGTGACACTTTACTGCCCAGTAGATTAGTCTATTGTACAGTAGAGCATCCTGTGTAGACATGCCCAGTGTATGCAATTATTTGGTTAAATTTCCTGCAACAGGGAAACACTAGTGAACTGGTAGCGTAGGGGGGACGTCCTCAAACCTTTTTCTTTCTGTTTAAGTGATAGAGTCCCAAAGCCTTTGATTCTCAGTAAGGCATTGACTGAGAAAATTTAGCTTCCTCCTAAATGTTTAAGAAAACCATCCCAGTAGCCATCTCAGTTTGATGAGACTTAGCATGTGGTAAACTCCAGCTTCTGTCAATTTTGCTGGAAGACTCTACATTTCCAAAACAGTAGGGCTGTGCAAAACGGCACTGTTCTGTTTCACCTTCAGTTTCTATGGTTCAACGGAGCAGCAGTCCATTTCAAATTTCATTTTGATTCGAAACAGCTGTTCCATTCCAATCCGTCAAAACTGAAAGGCTGTTTCAATTGGGTGCAGGGACAGTGAGTCAGCCCAGCTGGGCTCACTTTCACCTCTCTGCACCAGCTGTGCTGACTCTTTGCCTTTGTGCCTGACTGCAGCGCAGGGGGAGGAAATGAGCCCACCTGGGCTGACTCTCCACCCCACCCCGCACCGGATCACAGAGCCGGGCTCAGTTCCCAATCCCCTTTGCTGTTATTGGCTTCCATCAGTGGGAGACTGGGAGAGCCAGCCCTGGTTCTCCTCTGTCTCTCTCTGCTGCCTTCAAAACTTGAAACATTTCAGAACTTTAAAAATGTTTCGACTAGCCTTGTTTTGTTTCGAGACTGTTTCAAAGCCCTTCATTTAGATTTGATTTAACTGTTTCTAGCGCGAGATTAGTCGAAACAGTGTCAAATCGAAACAGTGGGCAAAATTCCTCACAGCCCTACCAAACAGCTTTCTGAGGGAACCTAAGACATCCTTGTTTCTCAGGCTGTAGATGAGTGGATTTAGTACTGGGGTGACAATGGTGTAAAACAGAGACATAATCTTGTCTTCCTCTGGTGAGTGATAGGAGCTGGGTCTCATGTACGTGAAGATGCCTGCCCCGTAAAACATGACCACCACAGTCAGATGGGAGGAGCAGGTGGCCAGAGCTTTCTGCTGTCTGGCTGACTTCATCCTTAGGACTGCAGCAAGGATGTGAGCGTAAGAGGCTAGGATGATGGAAAAGGGGATGAGAAGCAGGACAGTTCCAGTCACAAACAGCAAAGTCTCATATGGGGATGTGTCAGTGCAGGACAATTTGAGCAGGGCTGGGACTTCACAGAAAAAGTGATTAATCTTTTTAGAGCCACAGTAGGGCAGGTGCATAGTAGAAGCTGTAAATATCAATGCATCTGTAGTTGCCCCGATCCAGACCCCACTTGTGAGGCCCAGGCAGACTCTCCTGCTCAGGAGGACGGGGTATTGCAAGGGGTTGCAAATGGCTACATACCTGTCATAAGCCATGACTGCCAGGAGGAGGCACTCTGCTCCACCCATTGTCAGCACAAGCAAAATCTGAGCCCCACAGCCAACTGGAGAAATGGTGTTGTCTGAGGTCTGAAAGCCTACTGCCATTTTGGGGACAACAATCAGACTCTGACAAATGTCCATGAAGGCCAATTGACTGAGGAAGAAGTACATGGGGGTGTGAAGGGATGAGTCCACCTGGATTAGAAATATGAGGAGAGCATTCCCAGACAAGGCAGCGATGAAGGCTAATAATATCAGGGCCAGGAAGAACATGTGTGCATTGGTCCGGCTCAGGAGTCCCAGCAGAATGAAGTCTGCTGAAGAAGTTTCATTCCCACTCTTCATTTCTTCTTCATCTGGATTTGCCTGAAGCCCTGGACAAAAAAAAAAACCATGCCCTGGGGAATGTGCATATGCTTGTTTCTAGATAATAGTAATAGCAACTGAGGCACCCAGCAGGTTTTATACTACTGTCAAAGAAATGCCAGACATTATGGTTGATCAGTTAATAACCACACTTCCCCAGGAATTGTTTTTATTTAGGTCAGTGGTCACCAGCGAGTAGATCTCAATCCACCGGTAGATCTCGCAGCCTCTGACAGTAGATCTCAGAGTCTCTTAGAATCTATCTGAGGCTGCGGTTGGGGGCTGAGTGCCCGTGTGCATGTATGCATGCACCCCAGCCCAGCAGGTCAGTGCATAGGGGAGGGAAGGGGAAGGGGAAGGGGCTAAATCAAGGCCCCCATAGTGAGGGATAGTGATGCAGAGTCAGCAGGGGTAAGTTAAGTGGGGCCCTGGCCGGGTGGGACTTACCTGCTGGGAAGGTGCACCCACAAATATTTTTTTCTCCCTCTGCCTTGTTCTGCTCCCCACCACTTCCCACCTGGCAGACTTACCTGCTGGGCAGGAGGAATGTCGGGGGAGCAGTGGCGGAGTTGCACAGTAGATCTTGGGTTGCTTTTAAATGCCAAAGGTGATCTACTTAAAAAGGTTGCAGACCACTGATTTAAGCTAAAGGTTTTTGAAACTTGGCCCGGCATTTCTATTTTCAGCTCCAGGCCCCACCTCCATGGGGAATTGGTTTAATTTGTGATATATCTATGCTGTAGTATTAACTACAGCAGGGATTTTCAACCTGTGGCTTGCAAAACCTTTGAATCCGGTGTAGTGATTTGGGGGGTTGGTGGTATTTGGCAGTGAGGGGCACTTGCTGCAGGTGCTGTCCCCAGACTGCCATGACAATGAATGCGGGTGTTGTACCTGTGTCATGAGTGGAGACTAGTGGCAGTGTTGGTACGGTCCTAGCAGCCACACACCTCCTATAAGGGCGGATTATCCTGGTTTGCAGCTGGAAAAGTTGTGTGTCCCTGAACTACTATGTTCTACACACACATCTGAGCTAGGTTTCAAAGAGTTAATTGGAGCCATGGCCTTGAGGAAGTCGATGCATGCAATTGTCCATTTGCTCCATGCCAGTAATAGTACCCAAATAGTAGCCACACTGCTAATATGACCTTCTTACTTGTGAGTCTGACTGATGTCAATGGGAAATGTTATGTCACAGGAAACAGGAACACCACATGGCAAAACATTTGACAATAACTGTGTGTGGCTAGTCATTCTGGACTTTCTCCTTTCCCATTGCCACCAACAATGACATTTATCATTATTAATGTTCTGAGTAGTAATAGGAGGAGAAGTCTTGACAAGGCAGGCACTGCACGCAGGGGTATGAGGAAACATGCTGTGTCCCTGACATGTCACCATTTAACAAACAAATTGTAAAAAAAAGGCCCCAATACCTGCTCCCAGAAAGATTCTATAGTAAATCTGGAAACCAAAGTACCATTTAAAAGAATGTTTTTTAGAGAAATTATTATATCAGCTCTATACTTTTAGTGTTCAGTTTTTCAAGTGCTCAAATTAATACCCCTTAAAAATATGTGCCTTTCAGAGGACAGGCTCTCCGCTGTTAATGAATATCAAAACACAACAACTCGAGGAGCCAAAATTGAAATAGACTCGATGAAAGGTACCACCTAGTGAGTTCAGGTGTAGTCTGTTAAGAAAAGAAAAAGAAAGAAAAAGTAGAACAGAATACAACCAAAGCTGCTTAAAAATAAAAAACAATATTTTAATGATAAAAAGTGAAACAGAATCATTCACATGTTGGTAGAGCTCTGTGCCATATCACTTCAATTCTAGCAAACCATTAGTAAAATTACAATTAGGAACTATCAGGTCTATAATGCTGTTGATAAAAACTGTCAAATAGTACTTCAATTAATGAGTGTGGATATGTTTTAGTGGAAAAGGACATTTCACTCTTTTAAGGGACATTTCCCCCAAAATTAAAATCATTCAGAAAATTTCTAGTAACTGGTTGAATGACCCACCGTGTAAAATACTCCATGAAGGGATTGATTAGGAGTGGTACAGGTACAACACCTGAAGAATAGCTTCAATATAGTTAGGAACAGAAACACCCTGAGCAAGAGAGAAATTGTCTCTTCCTATTAAATAAAATCCACAAACTCACTGGCTTCTCTATTTCTGCTGGGAAGGTGGTGGCTCTGTTGGATCAGAGCCCTGATCTTTCCTGGATTGCCCCTCTGCAGGTGAACCAAGATCAGCACTTTTTTAAAATCTAGTCTCTCGAGCCTTGGTAAGAAGCTATTTTTCCTTGGAAGGCTGCCCACAAATTCAAGGTAGTTAAGACCTGAATCTAACAGATTTCTTTCTTTCTCTATTAATTATTCTGTGACTCTCTTCGGTTAATGGATATTTCTTTTAAATCAGCAGCTCCCTATCCTTTATCTGCACTGTCTTAGCAATTCCCTGTGGTTTGTATTCCAATATTAGATGTCCTATTAAGATTTCTTGGCCTCTATTTTTGGGAATGTGTGTTTTTTCCTGGGCCAGCTTCTCAAACCATCCTTGATCTCCAGAATCTCCCTGGGGCTCTGCAGTCCTCTGCCTCGGTGGCTGTTTTCCTTCTGACAGAGTGAACTTGAATCCCTAGAGCCCTATAGCTACCAAACTTTGTACGTACCACGAAGGTACAGAAAGATAACTAGGATTTAGCTCCTCACATATAAAAGTAGGGACAAGGGAAAGTGTTGAAAGAGTGACACTGTAGTTTCCTCTTTGAGAGAGCACAGACCCCAAAGTCACTGAGAGATAGCGGATTGTCAAGCACAAAGCACAAACAACCCTTCTTACAGTGTGAGGTTCAAAGGTATTAAAATGGAAGTATTTTATATGATATGATACATATACTTTATGCTATACACTACATGGATCATATGTGAAATGCTATGTTAAACTAAATCTCTCTGTATCTGACATTTTCAACAGCCCTAAAACTGGCTTGGGGGGAATCCTGAACCTGCTAAGGTGAAAAGGTAATTTGGAATTGAGCCCAGGAGAGGCAGACTTTTACCCCTTCTTTGCAAACATTTCCTCCTCCTCAGGTTCCTTTCAGTTCATCATGCTATGCAGCTACGCTGGCAGGAGTTATCTGTTTACATTAATCATATTCAACTTCCAGTTCTTAATTGTTTATCACACCAAAAAAAAAAGAAGAACAACAACATTGCAGCACAGTTGTGGGCAAAAAAAATAAAGTAAAATATATTATTAATACTACTGGTAAAAGTAATAATAATTAAAAGTAAAACTAATGTGGCTTTATTGAAATGTAATACCTGAAATATTTTTTGCAAAACATTTATGCCACGTCTTCTCTGATTACCACATGGGGATTGTTAAGGAGAAAAAGGTGCTGTTTGTAATAAAGAAATATCTGTTTTTAAGAATTTTCTCCTGTATAAAATACAACTAGAGGAAAACAGTAATCACTTACCTCGATCTGTTTTATATTGTTCTGTGACCACTTCAGTAAGACTTCTGATCTCTTGCAGAAAACATTGTCATTTATTTAAAAGTTCCCATACCCCAAGTCTTTACAGATTTAAACTCTGGTCTTCTATTATATTCACAGACTATTTTCCTTTTCCCATCCCATTGGCATATGTGCATTAACAAGTAATAATGTGTTATTGACTCTAAAGTAAGCACATTAATGATCCATGTGACCTTCTTCTATCACTATCTGTACATTCAAAATTACAGAAATGACTATTCTAGGCATGGCATTTCTTTAGCATGGGATAGCAGTAGTTTCCTAAGAAAGTAAATTAACTGAAAATCCCCCAAGCATGAACTCCATTTAAACTTCAAAATTAAAATAATATAATAACAATTAATGCCCAGAGCCTGAAAAAATATTTTTATGGAATGAAAAATGCAACATGGGCAAAATATAAAAACAGTCTAAAATCAGCCTTCAACAAAGACCCTCTAACTTCAGATAAAGGGACAGTGTAACTCTGATTTGTGATCCTGCTTCTGCAGCTAGCTGAATAAATTACCTAGTGCAGGGAAGAGAAGACCCATGTCATTAAAACAGTCTTTTAAAGGCCAAGTCATGGTTGAGACCATTATGTCACTTCTTCAGCAATAACTTTGAAATCTAAGGGGAGAAAAATACACAAATGTTCCCACACTTTGGGGACTCTTGTCCCAAGTCTTTAATTATGTTGCAGCTTCAGCTCCAGCAGGTGATCTGGCAGACCGTTCTCCATTCAGGCGCTTGAAATCTCTGCAAAGTTGTGCTCAGAGACATTTCTTGGTAACCTCTGTCTAGAGGTGGGAGATAGCAAAATATTTCAGGAAGGACAAAAGACAATAATTTTCAGTCTTTCTTAAATGAAATTCTAGGTGGAGGTTTGTTTTTGTTTTTAATCGGGACATGTCATGTGTGAATGATACAGAATACCGAATCTCTCACTGCTGGATTTTCTAGTGGAATGAGACATCCGGGTCGTGACTCACTCGACATGCTGCTTCTCCATCCAGAACATCAGTTCCTCAAACATTCAAGCACTACACATCGCTCTCGCCTGGACAGTTTGGAACAGCGAAAGACCAAAGGAACACCGTCTGGCTAGATATGCATCTCATTATTTCTTGGATGCAAATTATGGGAGAAGAACAGGCCCATAGGCCTTAAACTTAATTCACACAAATGAATTAAATCTACTCCTTGATTGTAGACCACAGAATCAGGTGCTTTATCGGAGACTGTTTGTGCATTAGTCTAACATGTATGACAATGCATCTGTAGCTCTCCTTAGTGCCTTGAAAAATCACTTTAAATTCTGCCACTCAACCAGAGTTAGGCTGGTGGTTTTAATATAGCTTCACCTATAAAAAATGCAGAACTATGCTGGAGGTGGAGTGGGGGGAGAAACATTTGCCCCGTACCTGGAATGCCTGCACCA